TGGCCGGTCACTGCGATTAACGTTACACTTTTATGTGGACTACATGTTGTTGACGAATGTAATTTAATTATTATTACCACGTTATCAAACTTATTTAATCTGGAAAACATGCCATAAATTTAAAAATAGCAATGCAAAATGTTTGTTTTTAAAGTGAAAACTTTTTTAGGCATGTTGGTCATTTTTGAACAACAAACAAAAGATTGTATTTAATGGGGAAAAAAAACATTGAGCTCTCAACACTGTTGCCGTTACCGACACCTCTGTTGAAGCGAAAACTTCTTTAGGCGCGTTATACATTTTTTGAGATGGGAGTAAACAATTGAACTAGCGACATTGTTACCGTTACCGACACCTCAGTATATAAGTTTTTACTTCTGTCGGTACTCCCGGAGTGCCCCTGTTTTTTTTTGTTTTTGTTTTGGTGGTTTGTGTTTTTGGTTAGGTGTATGTGTCGTTTACGAATGACATGTTTATTATCAATTCATTACACAGATGTATACCAGTGAGTGTGTACAATAAAAGGTTATGACGGCAAATCATTTTCCTTGAAATAACAATCTATACCCATCAGAGAAGTAACCGACAGACTGATTCACTAACTGGTCGATCAAATCTATTTTTGTTCGTTTTTTTTATATACATACTTACTAATAAATACTATTTTTTTTATTTTAAAGACAACTCCCGCACTAGGCATAAATCCTGTGTCGCGGGGGACTTTACAAACATATATGAAACGGACACAAAGAACACCCAGACTCAGAACAACAATTTTTGGATCACACAAAGTGTTGTCCCATGTGGGGATCGGACCCACAACACTCAGCGCAGTAGGAAGCGGCGAGGTGACCGCTTAAAAAACTAGCCGTACAGTCGAATGCAGTTTAGTTATTAAAAGTAATATTTTTTTCAAAACTACCCACCCTCACAAAGGGATGAACAGTTGTATGGAAGTTCCTCATTTTCAAAACCGCGGACAACAGCTAGTCTAAATAAATGTGCCAAATGTTTTAAAAACCCTCATTATTAATTATTTCTTCAGCATAGACCAATCAGTAGGTATTTAAAACTAGCACATCAGATATAGTTCAGGTAGTCACTAGATATGAGTCAGCGCTTCATCAGTCATCAGTTTTGGTACATTTGACCAACAATATATAGCAACCTAGATATTCAACTCTGGTAAGCGATTTTAGACACTGCCAAGAGCTGGCAGACAATTCTGAGTAGATATTAGACCAGGATTGGGAAAACGTAGTGTAGGACGCCCTGCGGCACGATGGACTTGAAGAAAGTCGCTGGCAGCGGATCGATGCGGACTGTCCAAGACCGGGGTAGTTGGCGCTCCTTGGGGGACGCTTTCATTCAACAGTGGACCTCGAATTGTGATGATTTGAGGCAACATGAAAATTTGTAAAAATCATATCTAGTAATGTCCAAGTACGAAATTGAACACCTGGCTTAGGTTTTTTTGGGACTTTATCAAACCTGATCTTTACTTACACTTTTAAACCCGATAAAATGATAAATGAAACCCGATCTGAACGAGGAAACAATAAAAAAAAATTGGGTTGATAAAGCCCCACTACTGTTCATCGTGGTGTTCGTTTTAGTATTACAGACATTACTAAAGATGAGTTTCACGAATTGTCATGCTGCCTCAAACACCTACTCAAAATTGTCCGCCAGCTCTCCTACTATACCCTCAATTCTTATGCAACATATTAATAAAACTTCTGCAAACACTTCACTTATTAAGTAATAATATCAATATTTCCATATTTATTATTGTTTTGAAATAGTATTTATGATTCTTATTTAATAACAGTTAATTTGTGTAAACCATCTCTCATACTGTAAGTTTCTTACTAACACATTTTAACGAAGGACATCTATGGGGATCTTCCACCCCGTTAACAAAACATTGATTTACTTAAATATGTTCTACCATCTGTTCCTCGTCGATCCCTCACTGCTGAGGACCGTGACTCCCTTTCATCGTGTCAACCATCAAGGCCCTTCTTTCCCACTGGGCACTCTGGGCACGTGCCCAGGGCACCTCGATCGATAGGGGCCCGATTCCTGCCAGATCACCAATCGAAAATCAATATTTATCACCGAAAAACATAATTATTTCGAAAAATCAATTTGTAATGACTGCCTACAATACTTTTTTTGTCCATTCTAACAAAATAGTGCTCAGCTAAGTTCGTAGGGGCCCCATTATGATAATTTCCCCAGGGCCTCCAACGGGCCTGCAACCATCTGTTTCCATCGGCTGCGAACAGTCGCCATTTCTACCATAACTATAACTAAAAATTCAAGGTATATATATATACGAGTACATTTCTACAGTCCAAGCTGCAAGAGTTATAAAATTGCAACACTACGCTCTCTTTCAAAACTGGCTACAAAAAATTCGTTCGTACATAATTTTAAAGAGAATAATTCATACCGAAGCGGCATAGTTGCCATACCATTTTAAACTTTATCTTAATACGACAATGTATTTTATCGTTTAAAAGGGGCTCGTGGCTAAGTAACCGAGTAAGTTAGCACATTGCAAAGGTCAGCCTATGTATGGGTGACCTTAACACATTGAGCCCCAACGTGCCGCGGATAGCGGATTATGCCGTCGGTTCCGGTTAACATCACATCAACAGCCTTTAATAGTCCACTGCTGGATATAAGCCTCTCCTTAGAAAGGAGGTTTTGGCCTACTATACCACGTTGGCCAGACGGGTTGGTATTGGGTTTTTGTCAAGTTTCCCTTCTCTTTGCAGTGCTGGTTTTCCTACGTTGGCTCCCTTAGTCGGCTCTTACGACACCCACGGGATGATTAGGGGTGGTGACACTCCGTATTCTTAATCCGTCACCACACGGACGTCCCGGTCCCGGTTGCCATACAAACATTTGTGGCATGCCTTACGGGTAGTTGGAGACGGGACAACAGTCTGTCTTCAGAACTTCGATATCTCCTAGTGATTGGGTTGTGGAGGTCTGATGACATTCGCCCCATTGAAGATTGAAGTTCAGCCGTGTCGTTGTAAACTGAAAGCCGACTTCAACCTAGAAAAGGCTAAAACCCGGTAATATGTGGGACTGCGTGTGGCGCAACAAACTGGCAAGTGACCCTTCCCAGCGATTATCTGCTTTATACCATGGGGATAAAGCTTAAAATGGTTCCACAGTGAAAAAGGCGGCCACTGTGGCGCCAACTGTTGCTACTTAGATATGAATCGACGCTGACTATAAAGCCTTGTATCACGTAAAGTATAGTTAAGTATGATCTTTGTGTTGATAAAAAATGGTACGATATAATATCCTTTCGAGTGAAGGTCACTTAAGGTTGTGGCAGACAGCAGGCAGGGTCGGACTGCGTCGTGAAGAAAAATTACTAGTTCCGACTGCCGAGCACGACGCGACGTCGCGCTGTAAGACATTTTCTGCATTAACTATTTATATTTACTAATTCCTCGTCTCCTGTCTGCCCCGTCCTTTAATCGTTACCTTGAGTCGTTTGAATAAACTCGACCCAAATCAGGTAGCTTTTTTTATTACATATGCACTCGTACAAGAAAAATTTTTTTTAGGTTGAGTTGACAGTTGGGTTGACGGATTAAAATTCTTGCGAATCTTCGATAATTTTTTTTTTAAATGTTGGTCTAGTGGTTAGCGATTTCAAACAAAAAAACCGCATCATTATCGGTGCGTTCGTTTACGAGGTACGATGACACGTCAAACTTTTTTTGAGTCGGGAGTTAAAAATACAACCAATATTTCCAGTCTTGAATTCTTTACTATTTTTGGCCTTTTAAATGATTATCATCATAATAATGGAGTCTTGGTTCCACTTTTGCAAGTTGTAATACTAAACATTTTGTTCCATAAATAATTATTATTTTTAATACAATGTGACCCAAACAATTATATCTGATTAAAAACAACGAAGTATTAATGTAAATAAAATTACTAAAACTTAAACCATATTAGTTACTTTAAATTACCTAAAAATACATAACAGATATAGTGAAGGGCGAACTAATTATTATAACTTTTTAAAATATTTTAACAAGGCTAACCCTATTTCCTAAATTTATACGTTTTCTATACTTTTTATAATGAGGCCGTTTTTATAACGCATACCACTACTGGTTTTGTTTAAAAAAATTAATATTTCTTCCTCCTTCCTTGCTTCCGTGTTCTAAAATGTCCTCGTAAATAAGGTTACGGAAGAACCAAATACCCCTCCTAACTCAAAGGTAGCAACACACTTGTGTCTTTTGAGTTGTCTATGGGCTGTCTCATCAACAGCCTTTAATGATCCATTGCTGGAAATAGGCCTCTCCTTAGAAAGGAGGTTTTAACCTTAGTTTAAGGGATCCGGATGTCTTAATAACAGCAGTTCCCGTATCCCTCCTGTTACAGGCGCAGAGTGGCACACCGTGTAGTTTTTAGTGACAGCCCAATGGGGTTTCCACACGTAAAAAATATAGGGCTTGTGTCAAGTTTTCCTTCTCTTTGCAGTGCTGTTGTTCTGCGTGGTTTGCTCCCTTAGTCGGCTCTTACGGGCAATAGAGGTAGTGACACTCCGTATTCTTAATCCGTCACCACATGGACTCACCATGATGAGGATGACGGTGAGCTGTCTACTCGTTTGCCCCCTGCCTCGACTATTCATAATAGCAGTTCCCGGAACTCTCCTATTACAGGCGCAGACTGGCACACCGTGTGGTTTTAGTCGGTCCGATTACGACACACCACCCGCCACAAACCCCGGAGGGGTGACGGCCCGAAGGTGTTTCCACGCGTAAAAAGAAAAAACAACAGTGCAAACAGTTTGCAAATATATTAATCAAATACACTAGGTGGATAAATCAGCATTAAATACTTTCTATAGGATAAATAATTACACTTATAAACCTTGCCATTCATGGGCGGCGGTAGAAGCTTACTATAATACCGATAAAAAAAAAACCTAATAAATAAATACTTACAAATGCGATCTCGGCCGGTGGGCCAGTGACGTCAGCGATACCGACGCCGACACGCAGTGCGTGCACAGCGTACGCGCACGCGATCACCCCCACCAATACTTGCATGGTCATCTGAAAGTAAAGTCATTGACTTGTTAATATTAGCTTAAACACATGTGAATAATATTTAATTTGCAGACATGTAATGTAAACTTATTGACCCAACTGATTATGACTACGCATCAAATAAATTTTCCACTGAAAAACAACAGGTCAGATTTATCCAAAGTTGTTGGATTTGTCTTTATAATTATAATTATTCTGTGTGTATATATTATTGTGTGTGTACTATTATTGTTATTACAGTGGCGATAGCGAGTGGTAGTGGCTCATCAGTGGTGATATCAAAAAGATTGCCATATTTGGAAAAATAAATAAATCATTTCCTTATAATTTGAAAATATATTACGTTTTTTTGAGGAAATGATTTATTTATTTTTTCAAATATGGCAATCTGTTTGATATCACCACTGATGAGCCACTGCTATTCCATCACCACTGTAAAGACACTGAGTAGTGTAGACTACCGATATTTTTACCGATGCCAATGGCCACTCGATGGCATCTCAATAGCGTGTCAGTGGTATAATAGTGGCTTGGCGAGAACATAAAATAGCAGAATTGAGGCACAGGACAACGTCTGTCGGCCTCCGACCTCTTTAAAAAGTAGAGAGCTATTTTTTGATTTAAAAAGTTTCCACCTCACGGGTAACTAAATAGTCCATGCTCTAAAAAAACTTTTATAGCCAACAATAATTTCATATTTAATAGTAAGAAACTATAAAAATACCACACAAAAATCAGAGGACTATGACTAATACAATTATTGAATTAAAACTGTTTGAATTACGGACAATGGCTTCCGTTTATATTGATGACATCAATGTTATGCAAAGTAACCTCGTGTATCGTTTAAACATCAAGACTGCACGGATTTGCGTAGTGGTTTAAGTGGTCGCCACGCCGGTTCTTACTATGCTAAGTGTTGTGAGTTCGATCCCCACATGGTACGTGTGATCCACAAATTGTTGTTCTGTGAATCCGGGTTTTCTTTGTAAAGTCCCCCCGACACAGGGTATATTCCTAGTGCGGGAGTTATCTTTTTAAAAAGAAAAAAGAAAGTACGCTGGTCCAAAAGTTGTCATCATTAGTTAGTAATAAGTATGGAGGTACTGCTCATCCCGTGGGAGTCGTATGAGCCGACTAAGGGAGAAAACTACGCAGAATAACAGAACTGCAGAGAGAAGGAAAATTTGACACAAACCCTATACCAACCCGTCTGGCCAGCGTGGCATAGTAGGCCAAAACCTCCTTTCTAAGAAGAGGCTTATGTCCAGCAGTGGACTATTAAAGGCTGTTGATGATGATGATGATGGAGGTACTAATTATATTTTCTTACCTTCATTCATGTTTCAATTTTAATTAGAAAAATCGATAGGGAATAATCTGTGGTGCATTTATTTTAATAGATAACAAAAAAAACACAATCTGTATAAGTATAATTCGATAATTCCATAGGTACGTCATTTAGGCCGAATGTTCGGTTATGGTACTTACAAAAATGATTAATTGTAACCCAAGACATATTTATTATTAGTTTATAAAATGTCAGAACATTAAACACCGCCACTTTTGCCAAGACAACTAATAAATCAATTAAGAAAAAACAAAACAAATTACAAAAAAAAAGTCGTACAAATAGGCAAAACCATATATTCAAAGTCAGTGACATGTAACAAAAAGAAATCAAACAATTACTCAATTACAAATTACAATCGATGTATAAAACTAGCCGTATACACGTTTCTCTTAATTCAACAGAAAAAAAAACTATCTTCGACTTTGACTCAGCATTAAAAATGGACTCTAAATTAGGCGGGTGATTCTTTGTCATTTATACTTTCAGGTTATTGATAGCGACACAAATCTTTAAAAATCGCACTAATATCTTAAAATAAAATGCAAAAATATTTAAATTCTTGTCATAATGTGACGTGTTTGATTCGAATAACCTAGTATTTTGCAACCATGAACGTCCATAAATTGAATTTCTATACATCTAATTTAATTAGTACTAATATCTTTATCCAGACAAAATAACGAATGAACTGTTGAAAGGAACTATAGAAGAATTGGTGCCCATTCTTACAAGAATCTTTAACGACATTCTACTAACTGGCAATATTCCTAGGCAATGGTCAGAATCTCATATCATCTTATTACATAAGAAAGGAGACAAAGAAGACATAGAAAACTATAGACCTATTTGTCTGACATCCAATGTATACAAAGTCTTCTCAAAGATAATACTAGACAGAATCAGCCTTAAATTAGACGAACAACAACCAGTCGAGCAGGCAGGATTTAGAAAGGGATTTTCAACCATTGACCATATACATACTGTTAAACAAATACTTGAGAAATACAACGAGTACAATAAGGATATATTCATAGCCTTTATAGACTACGCCAAGGCCTTTGATAGCTTGAGTCATGAGTATATTTGGGAAAGCCTAGAACACCAAGGAATACCAACCATATATATCAAAATAATAAAATGCATATACTCCAATATCAAAGCTAGGATTCGGCTAGAGACATTGGGAGGTGAATTTCAAATACAAAGAGGTGTGAGACAAGGGGACCCACTTTCCCCAAAATTGTTTTCCGCAGTACTGGAAAATTTATTCCGTAAACTAAACTGGGAAGAATATGGCATTAGTATAAACGGATCTAGAATGCACCATCTAAGATTCGCCGACGACCTAGTGCTACTAGAAGAATGCCCCAAAAAGCTAGAATATATGATACAAAATCTAAGAGAAGAAAGTATAAAAGTCGGACTAAAATTGAACACTACTAAGACAAAATTAATGACAAACTCCCGAAAAACCAACATCAGCATTAATAACGAACTATTGGAGTATGTGGAAGATTATACTTATTTGGGTCAAGTCATCTCAACCAAAGATCAAATGACAAAAGAAATCAACTTCAGGATCGCTACTGGATGGAGGAAATACTGGTCGCTCAAGGAAATAATGAAGTCAAAGGACCTGAGCATGTCACTGAAGAGAAAGACCTTCAACTCATGTATCCTACCATGCTTAACATACGGCTGCGAAACATGGGCCCTTACTAAAATATTAAGGGAAAAGCTTGCCATAGCCCAAAGAGCAATGGAAAGGAGCATGACAGGATGTAAACGACAGGATAAAGTGAGAAATATGGACCTGCGTCTAAAAACTAAACTCACCGACGTATTGAATCGAATCGATCAGCAGAAATGGAGATGGGTAGGTCACATGATGCGGGAAAATAAAGGGAAATGGAGCAAAGCTGTTACAGAATGGTACCCAAGGGATGGACGCAGAAGCCGAGGAAGGCAAAACATAAGATGGGAAGATGAGATCAGGTTGACAGTGGGACCATTGTGGAGAAGGGTTGCTCAGGACAGACAACAATGGAAATCGTTGGAGGAGGCCTATGCCAAAAGGCACACCGAATTAAGAGACATAGTGTAACTAAAATCATGTAACATGAAAATGAACCTGTGTAATCTCTTACTTTGGTATAAGGGGCTATATATATATAAAATATCTTTGACCCTCGCTTCAATTTGGTTTTTGCTTAATTCATTGTTTTAAAATGGTTTAATATAAATTTATTTTTAATTAATGATTAAGGTAATAAAAGACAAAAAAAATGAAATTTTATTTTTGTTATAAGTACATATTCAGAAGCATTAAGTGAAAAGTTTGTTATTCATATTCGTTTATATATAATGTAGATTCTAATTTCGTTATTTCATTATGAAAAATATTAAACAGCGTTTTCAAGACCGAAGCTAACCATGGCCAGTACTTTGGGTTCTAGAACACGGATAAACATACTTAACTTAATTTCTTTGTATGTGACTTTTTGCATATACGAGTACAGATAACCGGACCAAAAATGGTTCTATTGGCACTTAGTTATTTAAAAAAAGTAGGAAATAAGTGACTTAATGTTCGTTAAAGAAAACGGCTCAACAATTTGTCGCGAAGTCGAAATCATTGGATGTGACCATCATTCTTGTTAGAGCCTATTTCAAACAGGATATTTACTGAACGTCGCTAAATTCCGTAGGTATTTGTGTCCACACAGCCGAGCTTTTCAAACAGTATTGTTTAACTATGTAATTAAAACTTGTGCTATTTGTTAGTAGGGATATATATCTGTATATAATATTATTACTAGTTGACCCACGGCACTTTGTCTGCGTCTTTTCCTTTTACGTTTGCCTATTTAGCCTTGCTCGATAAATGTTATAATCAACACTAAAAGAATTTGGACTATTAGTAAACAAACTTGACTGCACGGATGGCGTAGTAGTTCAAGCGGTCGCCACGCCGCTTCCTATTTTATGTGATCTACAAATTGTCGTTCTGAGTCTGGGTGTTCTTTGTGTCCGTTTGTATGTTTGTTAAGTCCTCCGCGACACAGGATATATTCCTAGTGCGGGAGTTGTCTTTTAAGAAAAAAATACTCTTCAGCTTTATAATATCAATATAGATAATAATAGCTTCACACATCTCACACACGGCAGTCTGGTTCCAAGAGTATGTATATTATATACTTATATATTTCTAAATACATACAAGTGATCAGGCTCATCACACAAATATTTTTCCTGGATGGGAATCTGGAATTTTGGCAAACGTAGTGTAGGACACCCACAGGCCAGGTGGAGTGATGATTTGCGCAAGATGGCTGGCAGTAGCTGGATGCGAGAAGCCCAAAATCGATCTAAGTGGCGTGCAATGGGAGAGGCCTATGTCCAGCAGTGGACTGCGATAGGCTGATCATGAGTTGAATCGGTTAGACAACACATGTGAATTTGCACCGAACCGTTGAAAAATTCAATAAACCGCGGTTTGAACCGTATGACGAGTTGACGAACGTTCAATACAACAAAATACCCAGTCCTGTAATACGATTACCAGGTCTTCTTTTTTTCTCATTTGGTGGATAAAAGAAAAATATATGTCCTCATCAACAGCCTTTAATAGTCCACTGCTGAACATAGGCAT